GGCCCCGGCGTGCTGCTGCCGTGACACCGACGTGCGGGTAGTAGTGTAGAGGCATGTGCGAGTGGAAAGGGTAAGGTAGACTTCCTGTAGCTGCCGCGTGCGTCATCATGTAAGTGTAGAAGCTGGGGTCTGCCGGATGGGGCCAGGACATCGCCAGACGCTGTCTTTTATCCTTCATCCTCCTGTTCTGGAACCACACCTGCACACAGAGTCAAAACAAGGCCCATATTGTAGCTGCCATGTTGTTTCCCAGCTCTAAATGTAGACCTCTGTAGACTGTGGTCCAGCGTCTGCTCAGAGCACACACACCGATCCCTGCGCTCACGTTTAATATGCCACTAAAATATTCTCATCGTTGAACATATAAATAATCAATCGTCTCACAGTGCGGGATTAATAATCAGCTGGATCAGCAAGATGTCCGTTAAGATAATTGTTAAAGTAATATGCTGTGAATGAATTAACAATTGGGTGACCAAAAACTGGAATGGTTATTTTGAGTTCAAGTTAAAATCAAAATATCATAGAGCAACATTTCCTGAGCATAAATAATAATATGGCCTGTGTTTTCCAGTGCTGAGTATTGGGCCTATGGTTATTATTCGCTTTATGCTCATCGCTGTCACTGCGCAAACACACCAGAACACAGCGGACACGAATAATGAAGATGAATCTGTTGCCTACCTTAATTGTAGTTTCGGGCAGATTTAGCGCTGCGGCTAATTCACATCTTCGTGGTCTCGAAACGTAATTTTCCCTGTAAAACTCTTTCTCCAGTCTTCCGATTTGTTCTCTGGTGAAAGCAGTCCGATACCTTCTGACTTGGTCGGTGTTTGAATTGTTTGATCCTCCCGTTGAATTTCCGTTCATACTCGGGAGGGAGTTTGAGCTTGTGTTTGAAGATCCAGAATTACTGTCTGAGAAACCTAGAAAGGAAACAAATAAACAATTATTGACATTTAGAATATTAAAATAAAAATGCTTGTGTTGAAATCTACCGTGTATTTGACAGCCTACTGATAAAAACTAATGTGATATAATTTGTCAAGAGGCAAATACAAAAATGTTTCTTAATATGTTATTTCATTATCTATATTTCTGGATAATAATAATCATAATAATGTTTGTCATTGGATTAAGAGAGAGTGGTCACAGATATGATAATAGTTACAGCCGCTATTTTAACAGGAAAATGTAATATCTCTCTCTCTCACACACACACACACACACATATAAAACAAAAACCATGGGAAACACGGAGCCAAATCAAATCGTACCTTTGCTGTTTTCCTTGTGCTGGCTCGGGGAGCGATGCGCAGGACATCCCACCTCCACATCACTGTTAATATCTGATTCTTGCGAAACTTCGGAGTAAAGACTCATTTTCTTTCTGCTTTCTGACGATGAAATTTCCGCCGAAGAGGTATTTTCACTGTTGTGGTGTGTACCGAAAAGACTGTCAATTTCAAATTTGCCTTTCGTTGGGATGTCCCCAAGATTTCCATGGAGAGAAGCCGAAGTTATTCTCGGGCTTAACCGTCCGCTGTGCTGAGAGTTTTCCAGGGCCTCCAGCACTGAATTTCCAGACGTGTCTGCGAGCCTCTTCCCTGCAACGGGACTGTGTAGACCTCTCTCCATCAGTATCATCTCTTTTCTTATCCTCTCCATCATTAAGCCGTACAAGACGAAGAAAAAACACACTCACACACACGCACACACACACACACACACACACACACAACCACACACAACCACACACAGCACTTGTCCAGGGGGGCTGGAGCACCAATGACTTGTGTCGGAGCTAAATCCGCATGCAACTCAGGAACTGTCTCAAAAATAACTCTCTAAACCTTTTTATAAGCAAGACGCAAAACATGAAAGAATCTGAATGCAATCGACGAGCGACTGCTCAAACTGAGCCGCGCATCCTCCCCACAGCAGCAAAATGTCATTCATCAAAAGTGGTGGCTGTTCGTTGTTAAAATGCTCGGCTGACGTTTCTCCAATGATCATTTATTGTAACAGGTTTATAAGCAAATAAATAGGAGAGGGCTGTCACTTGATGATGGAGGCGGCCTTCGGTCAGACGAATAATATCCAAGTGGAGAGGAAGAGAGGAGTGAGGAGCGAGGTGCTTGTCCCTGGGCTGATCTCTGAGTCTGTTTTAGATTGCTCTTGGGTTTGGCCTCTTGGGTGAAATTGACAGTCTGATTAATAAAATGAGCGGTGCAACGTTTCCCTCTTCATTTAGGAATATTATTATGCTTTGATTC